TAAGTACACTCTTGAATGAGTCTTTCTTTCAAGGATGCTTTGTACTTGGTGGGTCTGTGCAAAGTAGACGTGCCGTTGCTATGGAATCCCATAATTCAGGAGGCTTTTCTAATGCACAAATAGTTGAGTGGCTTTATGGGATGTCAGTGATTGGTGAATTGGCTAATTTTAGTTTCTTGTTATTTTTAATCTTCAGTTCATCAGTGCATGATAAAAAACACACACCGAAAAACAAAATTAATACACATTTTGTGCACTTTTCTCTGAAACTATGATTTTTGAATACATATTTTTGCAAGCTACATTCAATAATGTAATGACTTTGTGTACATTGTTTTCGTGTTGAAAGCTCAGATTTAATTTGGAAACAAACAGTTAGGGAAACGTCATGAAAATGGAATAAGTTGTCATGTGAATGCAACCCAAGTGGAGTCAAAACCCAATACAATTTAAAGTTAAAAATGCCAACCTGGCTGCCAAAGTGTAGAATCATAGAACTGTAGAATTGGGAGGAACCCCAAGGGCCATCTAGTCCAACCTTCTGCAATGCAAACTTTAGTTGAGTTTAGAATCTCAACTAAAGCATCTGTGACAGATGCCCATCCAATTGTTGCTTAAAAACCTTCAAGGAAGGAGAGTCCACAATCTCCTGAGGGAGTCTATTCCACTGTCGAACAGCTCTTACAGTCAGAAAGTTCTTCCTGGTGTTTAGTAAGAATCTCATTTTTTGTAACTTTAAGCCATTGGCCTGGGTTCTAACCTCAGGAGCAGGAGAAAACAAGCTTGCTCCATCTTCCCTGTGGCCGCCTTTTATATATTTGAAGATGGCTATCTTATACTCTCCTCTTAGTCTCCTCTTTTCCAGGCTAAACATGCCCAGCACCTTCAACCGTTCCTCATAAGTCTTGATTTCCAGAACTTTTGATCATCTTGGCTGGCCTTCTTTGCATACATTCCAGTTTGTCAATACCCTTCTAAAATTGTGGCTCCCAGAACGGGACACAGTATTCCAGGTCTGGTCTGACCAAGGCAGGTGATCAGGTTGACTCCTGAATGTCTCATGTAATGTTTAAATTCATTACTGAATGCAAGCTCTACCATTTTTCACAGGCTCTGATCCACCTGATGTCACAAGTCATGTGGTGATGGACAGAGGGTCAGGGTCACCCACCTTTTAAATGTGGCCCATGGAGCAGGTGGCCAGTTTTTTTATTTGGCCCATCCCTGACCTAACTAAGCAGTGCAGTCAAAGATCTAAGTGAATGCAATCTGTACTGCAGCCTAGCATAAAACACAAAATGCTTAAGCCAAACACTGCCAGCTCCATGAAACAAGTCTAGTATACTAATTTTTGCAAATGCAACTGAACCATGTACACCCAATGTCATCCAGAACGCAACATGGAACACGTACTTTTAGAATAGGCTTGGGGACTTTAAATGCCCCCCCCCCAAATAGACAAATAAAATAAAGAAGTTATATTTTTGTGTGCAGAAGGGGTGCAGACTCCATCTCTTATTTTAAATTCTCTTCTCCACAGGAGTTTCAGGGAATCATGAAGCATTAAGATGAAAGGATTTGCAAACAGAAAGATCATCTGTTATTTAAAATGAGCCCATTTTACAATGTTCCCATTCACCAGATATCGTTTCCAGTTGACAACTAATCACATACATCATTTTCATTAATTTATACAGCAGATTAGTTATAATCTATAGATTTGCAGGGAAGCACATTTATGGAGCCTGACTCTGATTGAACATTCCTTTGATTGATGATTTAATACCACTTTCCCTTCAGAAATTAAGCAAATAAATTGGCTATAAATTTTATATGAAAGTGAAATGAAGCTGTAATGGAAGCGATAATGCACAAACATACGTGTCAGATCCTAGTTGTTTTGCATAACATTCAGCCCTGAGGAAGAGTTCAGGAGAACTTGAAATCTTTGCACACTACACACTATTTTAGGTGAGCTTCATGAGGCTTTTGGAGTATCAGGTGACTCGATCAGCTGGTCAGCAGACCCACATATGCCTTATGTGATGTTAGATGTGAAGAAGGATCGATTGTTAAACCACTCTGAAAATTGCAGCTGTGGGAAAAGAATAGGGGTCTCCTAATAGCTCTCAGCTCCCTTAACAAACTACACCTCCCAGAATTCTTTGGGGGATGTTTAACATGGTATCAGAGGACTTTAAATGTATAGTGTGAATGTGGTCCAGGGGGGTAGCACACATACTCACAACCCACAGGCCAGGGGTCAACCTTGAAAGGCTATTTGATGCACTATAGCCCAATGAGGTAGTGTACCTTTGGGGGAACAGCAATCTCCTGGGAAACCATCAGTGAGGGTGAAAAAGCTGAGAAAATAATTTGGTTTTGGGAACCATCTACCAGCTCCTGGGAGTGGGATTTAGAAAAAAAAAGGCGCTGCTGGTAATTGCACTGCAAACCTTTAGCAGGGATTGACAACCTGCTGCTGTCAGTAGTAGGAGTTGCTGTCCTTAGTATGAAAAGTTGCCACTGTCGGGCACTGAGTATATTCAATGTTGCTAAGGGAAGCAAAGTTTTGGCTTCTGGAGACTAAAAACGGCTGTTTGGAGAAGCAGCAAAGCATGGATGTTCCAACTTCCTCAGTTATTAGAGAATATGTGGCATTGCATTCTAGATTAAGGATGCTTTCACATATCTGGAAAAAAGTGCATTTTGGGATATTGTTAATTTGTGCCGGAACCATTTTTAAATAATCAAATTGATAGTTTAGTCAATTGATCTTTTGCATTCAAACACAGATCGGATCCCACGCACTGGCTGGGGGCAGAGGAATGGTGTGAGGAACCAGCTGGGAAACCCACAAGGGAAGAAGGCTCAGAGTTAGGGGATTGTTGGTGGGACAATGATGAGTGGTCAGAGGGAGAAGATTGGAAGGAAGAGGTGGTAGAAGCTGAAAAGACAGAGATGAGTCTGGCTGGTGAAAAGGTTGTCATGAAGTAGTGATCCAGTGAGCAAGTATTGCTTGGTGGGGACCCTCAGGCAGGTTGTAACAAGTAGTCCCCAAAGTGGGAGCGTGTGATGGGGCTGGCTGGTTGCCAGCATTCCCCAGACCTTATAAATCTTCAAGTTAACCTGCCAGGGGAGGGAGAGAACATGCCATGTTTTAGACTTGCTGTTTGATGTTCTGTAGCTGGTGCCAGAGAAGAAGCCTAGTAACCCATATGGTGCCTGCGTGTGATTGATCAGTAGCTATGAGGGAGGACTCAGGAAAGTCCTTGACACAGGTGTCTCTCCTTCGTGCTGTGACAAGCTCTCTTCCACCTTAGTCTCCCAGAACCAGGAGAGGCATGAGGAGGTTAGCTTCACACAGGCACAGTCTCAGATTGCTTGGGGCAAACCCTGGAAGGGACTTAGGCAGCTGTGGGAAGGTGGGAACCTTCAGTCTCAGCAACTGCTTCATGGGGCCAAGATCTGCCAGAGATGAGTTGCTGTGCTAATAAAGAGTTAACTTGTGCAGTGTGATTTACTGCTGGCTTGCTCCTTTCATAGGAACATAGTAAACTAATTTATATGAAGTTAGACAACTGGCCCCCCCATGTCTTGTTGGAGGGTCCCAGGTTCATAATACGTGCAGAAGGTCCCAGATTCAATAAGTGGTGTCTACAGGTAGAGCTGGGAGGCTGTTTGAAAAACTGGGGAGCTGCTGCCAGTCCTTGTAGATGATACTGAGGGAAATGGACCTGGTCTGGCTTGGTGCAAATCATCTTCCTGTGATCATTTTTTTAGTAAATGACAGATGCCAAAAAGAGTTGTAGTTTATGTGTGTGTTTTCTCCCCTACCAGTTAATATAATTTTCCCTTGCAGTTTAACAAACAACTTTCTCCATACTGCTCTCAACACATTCACACAGGAAGTGTTTGCATGGGCAATTGTACAAAATAATTATTTGCGCTCTCTCTCTCTCTCTCTCTCTCTCTCAGAAAAAAACCCGGCCTCTGCAATGTAAGCAAATAGAAATAGCATTCCTAAAACAGCAAATATTGTTTCTTTTCTCTCTTTTTTTGCATTGCCTCATCAGCTTAAGCATTTTATGAGACTCTTCCTTTTATCAAAGACACATTTAAATCAAGGAAATGATTTTTTAATACTAGGGCAGAAATTAATTTCATGCTTCCCCTAGCAAATGCCTACTATCAAGAACTGAGTAAACAAACATTTGCACATCTGCTACTGTTAAATGAAAGCAGAATAAAATAAATTGTAATGGGAGCTTGATCTTAATTTCTGTACTGCTATTCTAATGTGCGACTGCATATGCCTTGCCCAGAGTTTGTGGAAACTATAATGAAACTTTGGCGACCTTTTGGCAGTGGAATCACATTCAGTGTGACTCTGACCTTTCAGGAGTCGGTTATTTCTTGGTTCAGGAAGAGAGCTGCACATGTTCCAGAGGCAATCCTCCTTGCTGCATCAAGAACCGCATGCAAAATGGGCTACTGCATATACAAAGTCACAATTAGCTCACAGCAAAGCTGTCCGTGCCAATCTGATCAGTAGTGCTGGCTATTTGTATGGACAAATAGTCAGGCAGCTCACTGCAGCACTCCCACCAGGGGCCATCTTATTTATTGTTTATTTCTTATTTAAATTCATGAACCTTGGACCCTTGGAATGGCTCAAAGCAATATACAATTAAATGCAAGGGGCAAATTTGAGATCTGCACCCATTTATTTGCACAACTGCATAGAATTAGAGAACCATGAAGTTGGAGGGTATTTTGTAGGTCAGATAAAAGAAAGTGTTTATTCACACAGTGCATTGTTTAACTATGGAACTTACTCCCACAGGAGGCAGGGATGGCCACTGTGGTGTTTGCCCGTTCTTTTGAAAATGTCTGTACAGGGGGAGAGAAAGAGTTAATAGGTAGACCAATAGAGAAGCCAGAGGCGGGGCCTACCTGACTATAAAAGGGCTTAGCCCGAGGTTTAGTTTGTTGGTTGGTTGGGAAGAGGCAGTTGGGAAAGCAGTTGGCAGACTGATGGAAATAGAGAGACAGTTAGTGCAGTTGGTCCTCGTGTGAGGGGAGGTGGAAGAGTTAGGGGCAGGATAAAATAAGACCAAGAAGGTAAAGAGTAACAACGTTTTGAATGCATTTAAAGTTTATTTGTGTTTGCAATAAACTACAATCTTCATTGTTAACTTAAGAACCTGACTGAGACTAAGTGATTTACTGGGGAGGACCTGGTTGGTGGCAGCGGATTAGTGGTGTACGGGTCAATAGTCCATGAGGTGACCAGGGGTTCCGTACGAATGCAGTGCATTTTTAACTATGGAACTCACTCCCACAGGAGACTGGGATGGCCACCAACTTGAATGGCTTTAAAAAAGGATTGGATAAATTCATGGAATGGTTCCTAGCCCAGATGGCTATGCTCTGTCAGCACCGTTAGAAGCCTCAATACTTCTGAATAACTGTTGCTGGAAACCACAGGAGGGGAGAAGTCTCTTGCGCTTGGGTTCTGCTGGATTATTTACCACAAGAATCTGGTTGGTGACTGTGAGAACATGATGCATGTCTCTTCTTGTGCTTTACGCTCTTATGTCATCCTCTCCAACTCTCCTCAGTGCAGGAACTCTAGAGCTAGATCATGCCTGACAGCTGAATTTCCAGTGGCTGACTGAGGAGACATTACTATTTCTTTAGGCAGCCCTGTTTAGGGAAGCTTTTAATGTTTGATGTATTTGTGTATTTTAATATTTGGTTGGAAGCCACCCAGAATGGCTGGGGAAGCCCAGCCAGATGGGCGGGGTATAAATAATAAATTAGTAGTAGTAGTAGTAGTAGTAGTAGTAATTTATTCCAGCAAGTAGTTAAAAATACAGAAGCAATAAGAAGCAGTGAGGAGACAAGCCCAAAGATTTTTGCTTCATGTTTCTTGCTTCGACCTAGGGGCTCTTATTTATTCTGCCTCAGGACCTAACATTAGACAGAGTGAAGTGCCCGCCTCAGGTGACTGAGTTTGGGTGTCATGAAAGGGTGGCAAATTGTTAGCTGTATCGATGAAAGCTTTGGGGATTTTCTGACTTGATTGCCAAAAAACTTGACCAGCCTTGGGTACTATGCACCTTGACTAAGGTGTGTGCATGTGTGCAGGGGCATAAGAACTGAAGAAGAGTCTACTCAATCAGACCAAAAGATAATCTAGTCCAGCATCTTGTTCTTACATTGGTCAGCTAGATGCCCATGGGAAGCCCAAAATCAGGACCTGAGGGAAACAGGCCTCTCACCACATAAGATCTCCAGCAACTGGCATTCAGATTCATATAGCATTATCCTCCATGAATTAGTCTAATCTTCTTTTAAAGCCACCCAAGATGGCGGCCATCACTACTTCTTGTGGGGGTGAATGCCATAGTTTAACTAGGTGCTATATGAAGAAATACTTTCTTTTGTATGCCCTGAATCTCCCAGCATCTGGTTTCATTGAGTTCCCTGGGTTCTAGTGTCATGAGACTGGAGAGCAGAGGCAATTTCAGGCTTCCTCAACCTCGGCCCTCCAGATGTTTTGAGACTACAATTCCCATCATCCCTGACCACTGGTCCTGCTAGCTAGGAATCATGAGAGTTGTAGGGCAAAAACATCTGGAGGGCCGAGGTTGAGGAAGCCTGTTCTATTTTCTAATGTGATGGGCCTAAGTAGGTTTTGCTAATGTACTGACATTTTATTGTTTCTTCAGTCCATGTCAAGAAGGCCATCTCAAGAAGATTTACTTCAGGCAATACCATGAGGGGAAATAGATGAAGGCAGAAACTAAGGTCAGAATGCTGTAGCAAGCTTTTTTGTGTTTTTTTTAAGTGTTGTTTTGCTTTGTTCCCGGAACTGTACATCCAAAGCAGAACTATTTGCAAAATATTCCACATTTGCTACTTTTTACCTTTGTCATTTTAGTGTCCCATATTATTAGTGTCCCATATTATTAGTGTCCCATATTATGAGACACTAAAATGACAAAGGTAAAAAGTAGCAAATGTGGAATATTTTGTGGGAAAACCTCATTTTTATTTTGCAGCTAAAATTAATTCAGCAAAAAAACAAAACCTCTTTAAAAAAAAAAAAAATCCAATGTAATTAGATCAGTGCTGATTTTTAAAAACTCCTGGCAATAGCAATTGATTTGTCAGTATTAAGATGCCTTTCAAATTTCTGGTTGCTTCAGTTTCAGTCACTATTGCAGTTAAACTGCTCCGCTGTTCTGAAATTAGAACCATTTAAATGATAAAGTTTTATAAGAACAACATCTTCATCTGCCATTTTTTATTGTCTCTAAATAGTGATCTGGCCCCGTCATTTTATGCTATAGGCAGGTGGCCGCATATACAATACACCCCAACAAAATATTTTAATGCTGTTTAGTTATTTAATTAAGGATAATTTCCATTGTGTTTATTTATACCAAAGCTATTAATATGAATTCTTAATTGAATGTATTTGCGTGTGGTAGTGTGTGTAGTTTCTCCAGTATCTGCATTTTTAGGCACACTATACCTGAATATGTTCATTTTTGCACACATTGCGTGCCTGAAAAACGGTACTGCAAAATTCAGAGAACTGTGAATTTTGAAGAATGGCTGTGTTGTTGTTTGCATAGTGTTTCAGAAAGTCCAAATTAGGTATATTTGCCTTTCAGTGTGAACTGAATCAAATATATTCCCCCTCCTTACCAAAGCTGGCATTTAACCTGGTGTATGGAACTTTAAAGAGAAACAGCAAAAGGAAGGAACATGGGCTGCACAAATATTTCAAATTAAACAAGTTTTAAATGTAATAGGGGGGAAAGTGTTGGACACAAATCTCCTGAATTGAAATGACTAACTTCCTGGATGGGTGAAACAGAGCATGGCATAAATCTTAAATAAAATATGAAGACTCAAGAGGAATTTGTCTCTAGAGGATTAGTTGCATGCTCTATTTCCTCTCAATAAACATGCTTCAGGGTGATGGGCAATCACCTTTTTTTGAGTCAGTGAAGGTGTGCTATCTCTGTGATGCAGATATAGTCAATCATCATAAACCTGTTGAACTAGGTACTTCAAATGTAGTGTCTATTGTTTTGCAGGTAATTCAATCAGGATGTTGAAAGAGTGATTTCCATTCATTGCACCAACGGTCTGAAAGACGGATGGTTTAATTAATCCAACTACATTCCTATAAATAAACAATGCAGGGCAGTTAGCAGGCTACTTTGCTCATAGTATTATAGATTTTTTTGTTAGCATTCTTGAGGAGTACCATTTCGTACTAGATCAATTCAACCAAAGGCTGACAATATATGATTCCACCATGCCACTTTCAAGAAATGACAAGAACAACCATTACAACAAGAAAAGAAAAACATGCCAATGTACATACTATCTACTGTTTCCAACCTAATTTTAAATTAAACATTCAACTTCTTTTTCCCCACAATGACCATTGGTGATATGAGTTTTCCTTCTTCTTAAGAGTTTTTTACTAGTTGAGAAAAACTCTATGCCCCGGGGGTAGCCTATCATGTTTCGCTGCCTGAAGCAAAATGGGGAGATGTTGCCCCCCACTTCCCTGTTGAAGCCTTGCTTATTGCCATTTGGTACAATAGTGGCAAACGGGAAGATGTTCTGAGGCAGATTCCATGGGGACAAAATAGTGGTAAAATTGCCCACCCTGTGCAGGAGTCACGTATAATTCCCCAAGCACTGCAAGATGAATATGGCATAGGAACAGACCTCAAACTTAACTGAATGCACTTCTCCATTCCTTTGCAATTCCTCAGAGCAGTAAATTGTGTACTGAAGCTTGTTGTTTGGATCCACTCTATGAACATGGTTCCAAAAAGCAGCTGCTAAGGTTTAGTTGCCTTCTGCACCAATGGTTTTGTCATTTGAGGATTGAAATGGGTTCTCCGCCCCCCCTCTTTTCTTGGCATTCAAATCTACAGCGCTCCATGCTTAACTCAAGGCCTTTGAGCATATATAGCAAAACGAGCAGAACTGAATCCAGAATTAAAGCAGGGCAAAACAAAATCAATATTGATTTTTGTTTAAACAAAACAAAACTTTAATTTTCTAAGAAACGTTCACCCGGAGCGTTGCCAGAGCCCGAGTGAGTTAATCCATATTTCCAGATTGCAATGGATGACATAGCAGACATCTCTGCCTGCCCACCCCCTTTCCAAAGAGTAATTACTTTTGCAATCACCAGGTGGGTGATGGGAACCAAACAGACATGTTGGAAAGGCCCCGTGTGCTATCGATTTTAGGGCCATTGTAGTACTGTTGAAGTGCATTGATGATCAGTTATCAGAAGATCATCTACTGAGGTTCTCTTCTATAACAGGAATGAGAGAGAGAGAGAGAGAGAGAGAGAGAGAGAGAGAGAGCCTTCTCCATAGCCAACTGGACTGGTGAGGCAGAAGTCAGAGAGACCAACAGTAGGTAGAGGCAGATACCCCTCCTGATTGATTGTAAGGAAGAACTTGCAATGTAGAGTATTCCTGTTCAGGAGACTCCATACTATTCCCCTTCCATGGCCACTGAGCATGCTCAGTCCTCATTGGAATGATTTGGAAATCCCCCTCTTAGGGTATTTTATAAAGGTCTGGGGTTTTTGTACTTAGAAGACTTGGTTCCCTCGAGCCTTTTATTACCTCTCTCTTGTGTAGGTGGGTGGTATGTGTATTATATATGCATACTGACAGGCAGAGAACTGGGATCATTCCACCGAATGAGGGGAAATCTGAATTCTTTAAAAAGTTGCATGAGACTTTATTGGACTATTTGGATTACAATCTGATTTTGATGGGGGATATGAATGGAGTAGTATCTACAAACATGGACAAGGCACAAAGACAAGGATGGTAGACTACCGAAAACATTTTTTGAGATGACAGACAATATGGACTTAGTGGACATTTGGAGAGTAAAGAACCCCCTGGGAAGAGAGGGAACTTTCTTTTCTGAAGCCAAGATGACATGGACTAGAATTGATCAAATATGGGTAACTAGAGGAATGGCACCAAAGATAAAGAAAGTGGAAATCTGCCCAAAAACCTGCTCCTACCATAACGCTGTAAGGATGGAGATGAAACAAATATCAACTGGCTCCTTCAGATGGAGGATGAATGACACCTTATTTAGAGATGAAGAAGTCTATAAAAAGGCCCAAAAAACTTTGAGAGATTATTTTGAAATAAATATGAACACCAATGTAGAAAAAAGAGTAATCTGGGACGCAAGTAAAGCTGTTATGAGAGGGTTTCTGATACAACAGAATGCAATAAAGAAGAGAAGTCAAAATGAGAAGAAAGATAAAATTTTGGAGAAAATAAAAGAAAGTGAGAAGAAACTGAGAGCAAAACCAAAGTCGCAGGAGATTTTGAGGGAAATAAAATTATATCAAATACAATATATGGAAATGATGAATCAGGAAATAGAATGGAAAATTAAACAAATGAGACAAAAAACATTTGAATCAGCTAATAAATGTGGGAAATTGCTGGCCTGGCAAATGAAAAAAAGACAAAAATTAAATACTATCACAAACTTAGAAGTGGAAGGAAAGAATATACATAACCCAATTGAGATTAGAGACTGTTTCCAGAGGTATTATAAACAATTATACACACAAGGGCCACAGAAAGAAATGGACATAGACAAATTTTTGAAGACAAATGGATTACAAAAAATCTCCCAAGAAAGCAAATTAATGCTGAACTATAAAATATCTGAACAGGAAGTAGAAGGTGCCATTCAAAATATGCAATTGGGCAAATCTCCAGGACCGGATGGGTTGACTTCTAGATATTATAGATCTTTGAAAGAGTGGCTATTACAACCTTTGAAGGAAGTCTGTAATGAAATATTGGAAGGGAAAAGGGCACCAGAGTCGTGGAAAGAGGCGTACATTACACTTATACCGAAAACAGAGACTGAAAAGACTCAGCTTAAGAACTACCGCCCTATATCGTTACTTAATGTGGATTACAAAATTTTTGCAGACATTTTGGCCAAGAGATTGAAAAAAGTATTGATGGAAGAGATCCATAAAGACCAAGCGGGCTTTCTCCCAGGAAGACACTTGTCTGATAATTTGAGAAATATAATTGATATTTTGGAAAAACTAGAAGTGAATATAAACACTAAAGCAGTTCTGATATTTGTGGACGCGGAGAAAGCCTTTGACAACATCTCTTGGAGCTTCATGAAGAAGAACCTACAGGGGATGGGGGTAGGCCAAGGTTTTGAAAATGGTATAGGTGCAATATACTCTGAACAAAAGGCTAAATTAATTGTAAATAATGTGGTGACGGAAGAATTTAAGATAGAAAAAGGGACACGACAGGGGTGCCCAATCTCCCCACTGCTTTTTATATCGGTCCTGGAGGTTCTGCTGAATATGATTAGAAGGGACCGGTTGGTTAAAGGTATACAGGTCGGAGCCAAACAGTACAAACTGAGAGCATTTGCAGATGACTTAGTATTGACGTTACAGGAGCCAGAATCTAGTACTAAAAGGGTTTTAGAACTAATTCAAGAATTTGGTCAACTGGCAGGATTTAAACTGAACAAGTTAAAAACTAAGGTTTTAGAGAAAAATTTAACACTGATTGAAAGAGAGAGGTTTCAGAATGAGACAGGCCTGACTGTGGTTAAGAAAGTGAAATACCTGGGGATTAACATGACAGCCAAAAATGGGAACTTATTTAAAGATAATTATGAAAAATGTTGGACGGAAGTGAAAAAAGATTTAGAAATCTGGTCAAATTTGAAGCTTTCACTGTTGGGTCGTATTGCTGTGATAAAAATGAATGTATTGCCTAGAATGCTGTTTTTGTTTCAAACATTGCAAATTGTGGACAAGATGGACTGTTTCAAGAAGTGGCAGAGAGATATTTCTAGATTTGTCTGGCAGGGCAAGAAGCCCAGAATAAAATTTAAGATATTAACTGATGCAAAGGAAAGGGGTGGATTTGCCCTGCCAGACTTTAAACTTTACTATGAATCAGCAGCTTTTTGCTGGTTGAAAGAATGGCTACTTCTTGAAAACACAGACATTTTGGACTTAGAAGGTTTTAACAATGTATTTGGATGGCATGCATATCTGTGGTATGACAAGGTCAAAGCGCATAAAGCATTTAAAAACCATATTGTCAGGAAAGCACTGTTTAATGTTTGGATAAGATACAAGGATTTGTTGGAAAACAAAACCCCAAGGTGGCTGTCACCGATGGAAGCGAAAGCTCTGAAAAGGCTCAATATGGAGGCCAATTGGCTGAAATATTGGGAAATTTTGGAACAAGATGGAGATAGACTGAAACTGCAGAGTTTTGAGAAACTAAAAAATAAAGTGCGAGACTGGCTTCATTATTATCAGATAATGGAGGCATATAATTTGGACAAGAAAATTGGCTTCCAGGTGGAAAAATCAAAATTAGAAACAGAACTGTTAGAACCCAAAACTAAGAATTTGTCAAGAATGTATAACTTGCTGTTGAAATGGAATACTCAGGATGAAACGGTGAAATCTGCTATGATTAAATGGGCACAAGATGTTGGACATAATATTATGTTTGCTGACTGGGAACAGTTATGGACCACAGGTATGAAGTTTACGGCATGTAATGTCCTAAGAGAGAATATTATGAAAATGATATACAGGTGGTACATGACCCCAGTCAAGCTTGCAAAAATCTATCATTTGCCCGACAATAAATGCTGGAAATGTAAAGAAACTGAAGGTACATTCTTTCACCTTTGGTGGACGTGCCCAAGGATTAAGGCCTTCTGGGAAATGATATATAATGAACTGAAAAGGTATTTAAACATACCTTCTTGAAGAAACCAGAGGCCTTTCTCCTAGGCATAGTCGGCCAATTGGTGCCAAAGAAGGACAGAACTTTTTTTTATGTATGCCACAACAGCAGCAAGAATACTCATTGCAAAGTATTGGAAGACACAAGATCTACCCACTCTGGAAGAATGGCAGATGAAGGTGATGGACTATATGGAACTGGCAGAAATGACTGGCAGAATCTGAGACCAGGGAGAAGAGTTGGTGGAAGAAGATTGGAAGAAATTCAAAGATTATCTACAGAAATATTGTAAAATTAATGAATGTTAGAATGATGTTGGATAGTAATTAAGTGGTTTCCAGCTGTAATGCTTTAAGGGAATATGAAAAAAGGGTTATAAATAGGTAAAAATTTAATATTATTACTTGCTGAAGGATTTGCTGAACCAACAGATTGAAGTGGAATACAAAAAAGGGAGGTATGAGGAGGTCCGGGAAATAAGTCAAAGGAAAATAAGTAATGGAAAATCTGTGTGTTTTTAACTATTTTTGTTTTGTATTTTTGTCATTTTTTTCCCATTTTTATTGTAACATTTTTTTAAAAAATCTTAATAAATATCTTATATATAAAAAAGAGA